ACCATGTCATGAAAAAGGTATCTTTTTGTTTCTCTTAGTTGCTAACAGGATCTCAGTCTTTTTTTTTTTTTTTACACTCACTCATTGAAGGGAAATAGATCTGCAAACCTCTATCTTTTACAATTATCTAGAGTGAGGCCTGGGACAAGATTGTTTTGTCTTAAACGTTGAGAAGCTTCTATTTTCCTCATTTACAATATGGTTAATTAACAAAGATAGCCTTATATTTGAGTGACATCAAGAGCTACCATATGCAAATCATCTGGCACAGAAACTCCTTCAGTCAGCGTCAGGGTATGTGGGGGAAGAATGATGTTCACTATTGTGTAAAGATATTTTTTTCCATGGTGTCATACAGGTCAGATCAAAGAACTCCTGAGGGAGCGGGTGGAACTGGTGAGCTCCATCTTCTTCATCTCAGTTTTAGGCACTTGGTCAGTGACTAAACTTGTGGCTAAACCAAACCCACTACCAAAGAGCTGGTCCCAGCTCATTCCACCCTCTGTTAGCTTTCTCCCATGGAGCAGCTGGCAGCGTCAAACTGCAGTCCTTCCAGTCTGCTCAGTACTACACCACTAAGGCTGCTTAAAGAGATCTCAGAATGGTCTCAGCATTGGCCATTTTCAAGGAGGAGATACAGAAACTGAGAAATGGAAGCAAGACATAATGCATGGCTTCTGTGCCAGGCACTGTGGGAACTAATTTGTTGATAAGAGTTTTCATATATTCCTCCCCAGAAGCCTGAGAGGTCTTTAGAAAGATCTCCATCTTACATATGGGGAAACTAAGATTCCCGGGGTTCTAGAGACTTGCCAGAAGTCTTACGTTTCCATTGTAGAGTCCACAACGGAACCTGGACTTTTCTAGCTCTCAAATGTCTAGCATGAGCCCAGCCAATCACGTTGCTGTTACAAATGTGGTGGAGACAACAACCTTGTTGGTTTTGGATTTGATTTTCTTTTCTTAGTTTCTAGATGACATTTTTATGGAACAGTGTTAACACTGTCTAAGCCAACCTGAAGAAGGAAAGAATGGTGACCCCGAACCAACATGGTAACCAGATTGTTCTAAGAAGCTCACTGGTATCAAGTCCTACCAGCTGATGGCTTCAGAGATATTGATCAAACTAGAGCATAAAGAAAGGAGAACATGCAGGACAGAGCAGGGGGCAGGATCTCCATTTGTATTCTTTTCTGAACAGGGCATTGCCTTCTGTCTTCTCAAACTGAGAACAATGTTCAGCCAAATGAGAACTTTGAGACCATTGACACCAATTCTTTATGGCTAAGTAGGAAGATAGAAACCTTTGCACAAAATCAACTGGCAAGTAAGTGCAAGAGCAGTGACTTCCAGACATACATCTTGCTTGTATCTCCATACATCCATTTGTTCATCCTGAATACCTGTGCAAACACTTAGTGCTGGGGATAACCTACGCAACAGAAGCCATGGTCACTGTCTCGGCTGAGCTGACAATGAATTGCAGAAGACATCCAGCAATTCAGGATAAGAAATAGGTAGAGATAGGATGCTGCAGTACAGAGTGAAGGTGATGATGTCATCTTTGAATGGATTGATGAGGAAAGGGGCCATGTGTGAGGTAAGACATAATGAGGAAAGGTATTTGCTGTTAAAAGGACATTTCCAGAATTGGAACAATAATGGGAAAAGATATAAAAGCAAGAAAACACTTGGAATGCTTAAAGAATCCAATTTTTAAAAATAGGAAGTCATTGAGAATGAAGGAGAAAGAAGATTCACATGAGTTTTAAGTGTATGGGGATCAGATTTTGCAGGACCTTGATCACATGGGAAAGTTTTCTATCTGTACAAGATGTAGCAGAACATACAAGAGATACGACAGCTGTAAAAGTACCCTTAATGGGTCTCAGAGCCCAATGAGGAAGTAGAACAGAGACAATGGTAGCGAAAACATTAGAGGTAACTGGATCACTTTAATACTAATTAGAATGTACAGACAAGGACAGAAGAAGGAGATAGATGACTTCATGGGTGAGCTGGGGACAGAGAGGTTGTCCAGGTCTGGGAAGGTGGGAAAGGGGAACAATAGGGAAGAGAAGTGTCACAGATAGTGAAATGTGAGTGGGAGAGAAACTGAGATTCAACACAGAACCATTCAACATTGAGTATCTCCTAGCCATAGTCTGCATGGTAGGGATTTTTATGTATTTCCTCTTGTTGGCTCACATACCATATGATAGATATTGGTGGTGCTGGTGGTGGGTTTTTGTAAATACCCATTTTATGGATGGAGAAGTGAGGGTCAAAATGCTGAAGGTATCTTTTCCAAAGTTACTTAGCAAATATGTAGCAAGACGGATACCTGACCAAGCCTCTAGACTCCCACTGGTGGTAATCTTCACACTCTTTCTCAGAGGCTTGAAGTGGACTTTGACTCAGGCTTCAGTATCCCCCCTTAAAGCTGCAGCTAGCCCTCTGCATCCCTTCCAGGTCTACTCTTCTATTCTTCTCTGGAGGACAAAGAGGTCATGGGAGAATAGTCTCAATGAAGGCCAAAGAAAGGAAATATATACTGGGGAAGAGTAAACAGTTGTAGACAGAAAGAGGAGGAGCACTTCATAAAGAAAAAATTCTTACCCTCGCCTCTAGCATCTAGTCATTTAAATTAGAAAGAGTGAAAAAGATATGTTAGTCTTGAGTGGAAAGGAAGAGATCATTGAGAAAGTTGAGAGAGGCATAAAGAAAGGAATAAAAGTGTAATTATTCTGTGGCTATGGTCCTGGAGAAATGACAATGAGCAGGAACAATTATGGCCCCTGCCTTATTAAAACTGAATTGGTAGTAGGTTTGACAAGGTAAACAAACAGAAGAGAAAATTAGATGGCTAGGATTATGGGATAGATGAATATATAAATCCACGTGGATGCATGCAAAAATACAATTTATCACTCAATGTCCAAACACTATGTAATAAATAAAGTGAATTATCTCACTTAGCCCTCGTCACAACCTCTGAAGGTAGCATCATCACCATTTACTGAATGAGTCAACTGATGCTCAAATTGTCACATGCCCAAGGTCACAGCTCACTTGGGTAAGAGAGTTGGGACTTACACTTCAATCTTTCTGATGTTCAGTCCCACATTTTAAATTATTACAAAATTACAGCAAGGAGGAAGGGAGATGGCGATGGATGGAGAAAAGATAAAGAAGTAGAGAGGAAAAAACAAACAAAAACCAAGAGCACTAACAGTGACTTCAGCTCCAAGGAGAGGAGAGAACGTGAGAGAGACAAAGATGCTCTCTGAGCCTGTGAGCTCTTGGAGACCATGCCCAGGCAGGAGGCGAATGAGGTCATTAAATCCATCTGCGCAGATGGGGACCCTCTGGGGAAAGCTGTATGCAAATGTCATGATGCAATGAGGTGAAATCAGCTTGTGACTTGCGTTAGTGCCGGCTAGGGCTCAAGCGGGGACTATAGTTTGCTTTTTGGAAGCGAGATCATCTGCTGCATCAAGAAGACACTTGCTCTTCTAGACTCCTCCTATCATCTTCTGGAAAGGAAAACTGACCTAAGGCCATAGATCATAGGAAGCAATGGACTAGGAACTGGAATTCTGTCTTTCATTTTTGAAACGATGTCAAAACTTGCTTCTGAGGACTTTTAGTGACGTTTTTGCAATACTTGTTTGTGAAATATTCCCTACTACGACAGGCTACTTATAGGGCGGTCTTCTCCCATGCAATTTACAGCCTCTGAAGACCCACCGAAGGGTCAGCGGAGTGGATTCCAACTTGAGGGAGCATAACAACAACCGAAAGTGGCCAGGGTTTGCATCGGGCATGCTTCTTCTGTTTTCATTATTGCTTCTCCCAAATCAAAACTGCCAGTATGCAATTAGGGAGTGCTAGTGACTGTTGTGTGAACCCAACCAGTGCCACGAAAAGACGGGGCAATTTTTTTTCTATAAATATTACAACCTAGAAAACTCTGTGAAGCAGTATCATTGTGCCATATAGAGCTGAAATCAACTTGGCAACACTTAGCAACAAATACATGCAGAGAGTTTGGCTGTTTTGTTTTTATTTTTTGTTTTGTTTGTTTGTTTAAGATACGTGTAAAGTGTCTGTTTTGCACTGAATTATCTGTGGGTGTCATCCAGTTGGAACTGACTCACAGCTGACCTTCCACTGAGTTTTCAGAGATAGTAAATGGCATGGGGGGAGATTGCCCATCCTTTTTCCACAGAGCAGCTGCTGGATTCGAGCGTCATGCTTTTCGGGATCACCATGCACCGTCTTTTTCCTCTAGGCCAACAGTGCTCCGTGATTATCACAATAAATCTATAAATGATAATTTTTTCCATTATACTGTTCAACTGTCACTGGTCTGTTGTTATGTGCTGTGTAGTCAGAACCAACTTACAACTAATCCTCCGAGGAGTTTTCAGAGGCTGTAAATTGCACAGGAAGAGATTACTCATCTCTTTCCCCTAAAGCAGCTGGTGGGTCCAGCCCGCCTGCCTGTACACTGGCAATGCATCTCTTCACCCACTAGGCCAGTGGAGTTCCCTCCAGCATTGCTTTAGTGCATTCCAGATGTTCGTCCATAACTTAATTCAGCCCTCATATGTATTTAACAATTCTGGTTGAGTCTTATCATACCCATTCTACAGATAGGTACCTTAGGCTCAGAGAGAGCCTACTTGTATCCTACTTGCAATGCCAGAATTGTCATTTATTACTTTGGACAAATGAATGCCCCTTTTAGAGCCTCCAATTCTCCATCAGTTACAGTCACCCCACTCTCCTACCCCTCAAAGGAAGCTGCGTTGATGGTAGCCATGATGGTTTGGATAAGCCTTATCACAGAGCTAACCAGAAGTAGAGCCTTAACTTAAACCTGGATCCTCTGCTCTCCCAATCTTGTGGGTTTTCTCATGCCCTGCAGTGCCGCCCTGAAAATGATTGTCTCAGATCCGAGCGATGCTCACACCTTCTCTTTTTTTTCCTTCCAGGTCACTCCCTTCCCTATGTCCTGTGACCTCCAGGGTGACTGTGCTTGTCGGGACCCCCAGGCCCAAGAACTCAGCACCCAGAAAGACCTGCGGGGACACAGCCATGGCTAAGGAAGGACAAGGAGTTGTCAAAGCATTCCCAGGATCAGGACCCGCATCCCTTTGGTATTGATTTCACAGTCAGCTGCTCAATGGAAAGGCCTCTCCACACCAGGGATCCTTAGCACCCAACCAGTCTGCCTTTAATTTCACCCAGGAAGGACTCACAGTGGGGCAGATGAACCAAGTCTTGTCATGTACAATGCTGGACTGGAATCCCATCCCAAAGTCTTTGATGAATTGCAGATACAGCATGCAGTCACAGAGCCTCCTTAAATTCTGACCATTTGTCATATGGCCACAGCAAGGAATGTGTTATGTCTCTAGGAGTGTGCACATCTGTGGTTAGAACACATGCATGCTTACACACTCATAAAAACATCCGTATATGGGCCGCTTTGGAGACTGAGCAGAGAGAGACTGGAACAAAATTCAGTCTTTCCTTTCCCAAGCTCCTAGCCGAACCTGTACTTGGGAGAAAAAGTTTGAAAAACTGCTAAAGCCAAGCAGCTTGTACCCTGAAGCTTGGAATATGCAGGGCATATACCTTTGAGTGGTGTTTAGGGATTGGAAATTAAATGGTCTCTGGCCACCTACCTTCTAGGGAGCTAGGACCCAGGAAGAGGTAAAGGATCCAAGGTATGCAAAGTTCGTCAATTATTCTGCTGCCACGGGGATTTAACCCCAACTTCAAGGTTCAAGGCCAAGTTGGAAAATGTTTAGGATTGGAATGTCAAGGTGTTATTACAGTCCCCTGCTTGAGGCATCAGGTCACATTCTCTCCCCAGAACCCATCTGTTCTCTGAATTTTGCCTTGGGACCACATTTGCTGCTACTTTTCCTGCTGCTCTATCCTATACATTGAGTAACCCAAGATGGTAGGACTAGGTTAAGAAAAAACCCACACAACCAAACAGTCTGCCTTAACAGTGACCCACATTCTTCACAGTTCTTCACTTCTCAGTCCTTCTGTAAGAGAAATGCCCTCATTGGCCCACGTGGTGAGAAGATAAGTCTCCCATGGGTGGCTTGTTGTCCTGGGAGGGACTTAAAATGATGGAACCCTCATCACTGAAAACCCAGAATGTCTAAGTCAGTGTTAGATATTGTAATCAAGAGGAACAGTGTTAAATTTCAATAATGTTGGAGCTGGCCAGAGACTGTTGGAATGATAAGGACTCTTAAATTATTTGTCTCACTCCTGCTCTCCCAGCCTATCAGGTTAGAGAAGACTTGGTTGGGGGGCGGGGGGCGCTCACTGTTGCCCTGAGTAAGTCAAATCCTGGAGACAGAGGATCATCCTGGATAGAGCCAGTCTAGATTGTAGCCTAGAGGACTGACTATCAGAGGAAAGTCAGAGAGTTCACAGCCTCAATTCTCAGCAACCCATTGTACGCTTGTGGCTTTTTTTTCATACAGTCTTCCTTCTATATCTGTGCCTGGGTAACCCTTCTCTCTCTCCCATGTTCAGCCTCCAAAAGTCAGAGGAAATTAGTCAAATGCACATGACATTCTCCTCCTCTTTTAACCAATTGTCTGTATATTCCTTTAGAATTGGTATCAGAAAAAGTTAGTACAGAATGAGATAGAATTGTTGAGTCAGCCGTATTTTCTGATTCCTGTAGCTGGGAAAGTAAGGAGACAAGAGAATCTAAAGTAGATGGGCCACACAAAGATTACAGAAAAGCTTAAGTTTCCATGAAAACAAACCAAATGTCTTGCATGAGAATGAGAACAATCAGGCATATATATGTATTGTTCCTCATTCCTTCATCTAAGGCAGACGTTGTTCAATGGTCCTGGTCCCTTTTACTCTGGAGACAACGAAATAATTTCAGAAACATTCTTACTATATAACCATACTCAAGAGCAATTGCATTTTTGTCAACAACACTTGAGAAGATATCTGTCAACCCTTCCAAAGTGTTTCTCACAGAGGTGCCCACAGACAAGGAAGCAGTGTTTCGAAAGTTCATATGGCTTGTACCATATTACAATATCTGAGACTAGGTTTCAGGATGGAGAGACTGCCACTAGTTGTTAAGGCCAGCATCAAATTCTTTTGTTTCCTCCTTAATAATCCATAGCTCATTTATTTTGAGAATTTATTTTCTGTAAATTCTAGAGCCAATCCTTAGTAAAATAATAATAGACGTTTGACCCCATGACTCTCTCCAGTACCTTAGGATTCTTGCCAACTCTTAAGAACCTTCTCTTGTCCTAGCCTGTGGCTTCTCTGTTCTATTAGCTTAGAACATTCAAGCTAAAAAAGATGACAGTGCCAGCCTTCTAAATGGTCTAATTATACCAATACACAATGCAAAATGCTTTTAAGATCCAAAGGTTATATTTTTAAAAGAAGAACTGTAGGAACCACAGAAGAAGAACCTCCAAGCTTCCCTTAAATCAATCTCCACTCTTACCCTAATCCCCACTCCTCAGTGCAACTTTCTTTCCTATCGCCCTCCTCCTATCTTTACATTCACAGACTGAGGAGTATAAGTCAAGAACAAATTAGTCTCTTTACCATCATTCAAATCTATTAACCCCAAATTCACGTTTGCCAAGGATATTAGGCAAGAAGGACTACTTGATCCGTGGCTAGCTCTATGTCAACGTGGTAGGTCCATCTCAAACTTTAGTGAAGGAAAGTTAGTTCTGTTCACACAATGCACTGATTCCTAGTTTTACTTTCTCTCTGGGAGTAAACTCATTGTCTCATCCTTCCAATCACCTCAATTTACTCATAAGGAGGCAGCACTGAAGCTCAGGGGCCCAAACACTTGGGGATTCTAGGTCTGGTAGCGAGACAGAGACGGTGAGGTGGACAGGGCTCTAAGCTCTGTCTTGGGGATCATTTCCACCCTACACCCTAACTACCTGCCCAGAGGATATGTATTACCCTCAGCTTCTGTGCCAACAAACTTTTAAGGGAAAACAGTCCTTAGGAAGTCAATTTTAGCAGATAAATAGGGATGTTAAGGCAGGAAGAGATCCACCATCATACATAAAAGGGCTTTGAAGATGGAGGCGACCAGCTGCTACTCCTGGCTTCTGCTCGTTGAGTTATTGCCTAGACGGTTCTCCTGGTCTTATTCCCACCTTGGCCAATGCTTAAATGCTATTTGTTGAAAATAATTCTAAAAGACAGACTTCAGCTACCTCCCTTCCAGGTTCGCTTTAACTTGGTTGTAACAGTCAATTCGTTCTAGGTCTTACCTGTGTTAAAATAAAGAAAAAGAAAGGAAATGGAAAGGAAAGAAACCATAAAGTCAAATGAAAAGTTTAGAATTTTGTTTGTTTCTTTTCTTTTTTTTTTTTTCTGGAACTACTTCAAGTGGGAAAATAAAAGGAAGAAATTGATGGTGACAAAGCTGTACAGATAGAGATTAATAGAAGACAAAGAAATAAAATAGTAATAAAAATGCATGATTGAAAATTAAGAAAAAAACCCTATTTTTATGTTTCCTAAAGTTGTTCATTCTACAGATTGAGTAGGTAGATAAAATTATAAAGATTTCCCTAGAAGACATAGAGTGAGATTTTATAACACTGTCTGTTATTTTCTGTACGTTGTAGTAGGTCCAGGAAATAAGTTATTTTCTCCTTTGATATATTGTTGGTGGGGAATCGTTTCTATTGTTTGTTTTGGTGGCAATCAGTGGTAACAGGGAGTGGGGAGGGCTTGATGTTGGTCTTACCAAATATTAAGGAGACATAGTATATTGTGCTTTTCATGTTATAAAATATTTGTATTTACCAGTATAACACTGGCCTTTGTAAAGACTGCACTCAGAATCACACTGCACAGTCCCAATTTCCTAACGCGCTGCTAAATGACCAGACAGGTAATTCCAATGAATTTTTTTTTTGGTGTGGGGGACCAAACAAAAAACCCAGACCAAACTAAATAAATAAACAAAAGCATAAAAACAAAGTAACAAAGAAGTAAAGCATGTCCTTTTATTAGAGTTTGGCCAAATTATTACCCACTGTTTGATTTTTAAAAGAAGTGTGCTATACAATAGCCAAGAGAGGCAGGAGGTCCCTAGGTTCTGAATCTAAAATTCTCACTTTCAGGCAACAATGTCAGTGATCTTGAGCAAGTTATCAATTAGCCTCTCCACTTGCCTCCATTTCTCTAGCTGCAAAATGGGTATAATGATACTTACCTACCTCACAGTGAGAGGGCAGGGAATTGTGAGGCTCTGAGCTTTTAAATGAGCTGTGACAGTCTGTGAGAATAAAATCTGAAGACAGTCTGAACGGGCTCTTTTTCAAGAACACATGGGCCCATTGAACATCTAAGAAAGAGAGGGAGTGCGTGTTTGCTGTCTTGAATATAAAGCTGGAGCTCCTGGATTATCCTCCACCTTAAAAGGGAGGCTTATATTTGAGATTTTTTTAAAAAATAAGATTTTGTTCTTTTCCATGTTCTGGCCTTGACCAGATTGGAGTTTGATGAAAAGATCATTACTTCCTACAGTGTAAGATCACCTTACTGTCGTGTATGCAAGACTTCCAGATCATTTCTGCTTGTATATGGGAAGGGAGTCCTTAGAAATCCCTTTTTCACTAGACACCTCACTTCTGAAACTTAAAATTCCACATTAAATGTTCCATTAAAAGAAGATATACCTATTGATACGAGACATTCTGAGTGTAGACAACTCGGGGCTTCTTACCCTACACACCAGCAGTCAATGAGGAGAATAAAAAATTATTGAGTTGCTTTCTTGGGTCTCCATAATCAATAACCTGTCTGCAGATATCTATCTATATAAAGATATTATATATATATATATGAATTTACATATATATGCACATGTATATATTGTTGTACATATATGTGTGTATATATATACTTAAATGTAATATTTACAAAATAAAACTGTGATCTCGTCTAGAGAAAATGTATTCATATTACAAACTGTTCTTCCATATTTATGTATCCTATTATACCTTTTTATTATTGTTATAATTATTATGGGTATTTCTAATTATTATGATGT